GGGGTGTGGTGAGGTGGGGGGCGCGGGGCCACCCCGACTGACCCCCAGCGTAGGACAGACAGACGCCGACTCCAGTAAGGCGCCTAAGCAGGAAAGTGACCCGACTACTCAGTATTCATCGAGCACGCAGGCACGAAGGGCTCTGGGGACACAGCAGTGACTCGGTTTGGGGACGCGCACAGCTTACAGCCCGGTGCTAGAAATGCAGAAAAGCGGACTTGTAGATAAATAGGCAAACAGATTATAACTGAGTATCAAGTACAGTTAGAGAGAAAAGTAATAGGTTTCAGGTGGCAGCCAGCAGGTACGGTCATCAGAGGACGCTTCCTAGAGGAGGCAGCATTTCAACTGAGATTTAAGAAATCTTGAGAAACCGGCCCAGTGTGGCGCGCACACCTGTATTCCCAGCTACTAGGGAGGCCGAGACAGGAAGATACAAAGTTTGAGGCCAGCCCAGGAAATCTAGGGAGACCCTGTCCCAAAATAAAAAATAAAAAGGGCAGAGTGCCCCAGGGTTCCATGCCTAGTACCGAAAAAAAATATAGAGAAGAAAAACTCAACCCCGTCCAGATTTGAAAGAGCATTTACAAAGTCACAGCGAGGAGGTTAGCGGGACCCTACAGAGCCACTGGAGATGTCCGGGTCCACCAGGGGGGCAGAGCTCAGCCGGCAGCCACAGTAAGGACACACAGCTGGAGGCTGTTGAGCAGGAAGTGACATGAGGTTGGCGCCTGGACAGAGAATCACTTAGCTGGTTAAGAAATGAGCGGAGGCGGGAGGAGGCCAGGTGGCCGTCCAGAGCGTTAGGGGACGGCACAGGACCTCTGCTTTGGGATGCTGTGGAGGTGGGGTCCAGAGGCTCTAGTGCTGAGTTGGGAATGGAAGGGCGAGGACAGAGGGACTCTGAGGCTTGGGCCTGAGTAGGGCGGCAGACAGCAACCGGTTCTGAGGCTCTGATGTGCAGCAGGATTGAGCGTTGGGCAAAGGGTGCAGCAGAGAAGTCCAGAGCAGTTTGGACAAGCTGAGGATAAAATGCAGGTGGAAGTGCTGCACGCACAGAAGGCGGGAGCCATAGAGACAAACAGCTTAGAGCGAAACGAAACAGTGAAAGGAAAGTGGTGAGGATGCTTCGATTCAGAACAGCCCGGAGTGCGGGCACACAGAGAAACCTCAGAAAGGGCCCAGAGAGCTGGCCTCGACCTCTCGCACCTGCAATCCCAGCACTCTGGGAGGCTGAGGCAACTTAGCAAGACCCTCTCTCAAAAAAGCAGACAAGGATTGGAGATGTAGCTCACTGCAAAGGCCCGCCATCCCTCCCACCAAAAGAAAAACTAAGAAACAGACCCTCAGAGCCGGACAGGAAGACCAGGCACAGACACGGCCTCCCGGCGCTGGCCCTCATCCTTGTCCCTTTCTCCTTTCCCAGGCCCTGGATCCCTGGAGAACTCCGCCCCGAGGCCCCCGGGGCCCCTGGCCCTGCTCTCCGCCCTGGGCTGGCTGTGGTGGAGGATGTAGGCAGGGCCGGTGCTGGGCGCCTCCCCCCAGGGGGCCTCAGGCCAGAGCAAGAGGAAAAAGGGGGAGCAAGCGCCGCGGGTCTCGAGGGGGCGGAAGAGCTCTCAGTCACCGAGGAAGAGGAGGAGGAAAGATCTTTAGAGAACCCATCACTGTGAGGGATATCGCAAAATTATGCATCTTTCTACAGCCATTCTCGCCACCCGTTCACCTTTCCGATTGTGACCACCCCCGGCCGCCCCACACCCCTCTCAGGCTGTTCACTGGCTCGTGTGTGGGCGGGTGTGAGTGTGAGCCCGCGCGCGTGTGTGTATGTATGTGTGGGAGTGGGCTGGGCAGGGGATCACCCCCCACGTCGCCTGCCTGACCCTGCCGCCCCCTCTGGCTGGAGGTAGGTGCGGGTGCTTCCGGCGGAAGTGAGGCTAGAACGCGCCCTCCCGCGCATGCACGCACCGACCCCATCCCGCTGCACCTTGGGCAGGTTGGGAGTGGGGCGAGCTGTCACCGTCCCTCACCCAGCCTTTGTGACAGACTATGTGGGGAACTCCATCGTGGCTCCCATGGTTCCGCCCCTCCCTGCTGTACACCAGCTGCCTGCAGCCAGAGGCCCCATTGCCGGCACAGTGGCCTGAGACGTCCCCACTTCCCTCTCCGTCCCCACCCTGTACTTTCTGGCCCCCTTCAGGGCCAATCGGTGCTTCCACCCAACTGTCGGGCTGGTGGGCGCAGCTGCCTGCCTGTCCCAGTGCTTTGCCCGCCCCCACTGCCCAACTTGGCCACCTGCGGTGCCAACCAGCTGCCCCTGGGTCCCTGCAGTTGGCCCACAGGCGTGGGCTGCCTCGCCTCTCCACACAATGGACCCCCAAAGGCTGACCCGACCGTCCTCACATACTCACGCGTACACACACACACACACCCGTGACTGTGACCAGAAATGGCCCCTGGCTCCAGCTGCCCCGTAGCTGGTGTCCAGCTGTGGTGCCCCCGAGGCGGGCGCTATCATTAGGAAGGGACGCTGTGAGACTGTGGCCTCAGCTCTGATGGCCGGAGCACCCCACCCTTGCACGCCACACCACACAGCAGGGAGGGGAGCGGTTGCACACCGACATCCTGAGTCCGGACAAAGTCGCCATGTCACCAGCCCGGACTCCCCAAGACCCTGTAGACCACCCACCCTAACCACCCCACCCAGAGCGTGGTGAAGAGGGCAGAGGGGGCACGGGGCGTGACTGTACCTCAGACGGGGGCATGGGCCCCATCCCACATTGTCTTCCATTCCCAGGGTCCGGG